AATGAGAATGAATCTTAAGCAGGCTCCATGCTGTCAGCACAGAGCCCTATGCAGGGCTTGAACTCATGAACCATGACATCATGACTTGAGCTGAAATCCAGAGTCGAATGTTTAACTGACTGAGCCACCAAGGGACCTCTCAATTGATTTGTCCTATCTTTTGTATATGTTTAGCTCTATCTAAGATTATCTATTCTTTTCCATTATTCTGTTAGTTTTGGCCTATTGTAGTTTTTTAAGTATCAAATAGGTAAAATTGCTTTAGTTGTTTTGCTCTTTGAAATCTCCACTAAGCTTTTTCTAAAAACAAAAACAAAAACAACTCATTTGTTAAATTTCAAAAAGCAGTTCTACTTTGATTTTCAATTAGGATTGAAATAACGTATATACTACTTTTGGAAAGTTAATATTTTTACATTATAATGATAATAGTAATGATATTCAAATGAGACAAACAAATTCTGAAATTTTTCATTTAAATGTGAAATCCAACAGAATCATGGATGTGCTTCATAACCACTTGAAAATGAAGAGCAAATTTTAACCAATATACTTGTTTGAACTCATTCACATATTTTGCTCAAATTTTTGGTGTATCAAAACTTTTATCAAATATTTGATTCATAGGTTTAATAAACAATTTAACCATTGGTTTCATGTTTTTTAAATTTTAGGATGTGGATGAGTTACCTGAGTCAGTTCTTCACTGTATTGACATCATAAAGAATAAGAGTAAAACTGTTGAAGAGCTCATTCTTCAGGACTTGGAAGATACAGAGGTTTTAAGTAAGTACAGTTTTTAACTGCTTGGCAGATAAGTTTTCTGTAAGCAGGAATGATTTATAATTTAGAAAATTATATTGTTTCAAGTTCTTATCTGTTGTTATACACATGTATGTGCATTTGTCTCTAGTATATAATATACGAGATTTTTATTTACTCAATATATTTCCTGTATTACTTTCCTTATATGTCTAATAAATAGTAGCCACCAACAGTTTGTTTTACCAGTCTTAATTAAAACCAGAGATTGTATTACGGCTGATTCTTTTTTAAAAAATTTTTAATGTTTGTTTATTTTTTTGAGAGAGAGACAGAACACGAGCGGGAGAGGGGCTGAGAGACGGGGAGACACAGAATCTGAAGCAAGCTCTAGGCTCCATGCTCTCAATACAGAGGCTCCATGCTCTCAATACAGAGTCTGATGCTCAAACCCATGAACCTCGAGATCATGACCTGAGCCGAAGTCTGAAGCTAAACTGACTCTGTGACAGTTGGTTCTTGAACAAGGCTGGTTCAAATTACATGGGTCATTTATGCACAGATTTTTTACAGTATTATAAAATGGATTTTCTTTTCCTTATGATTTTCTTAATAACATTTTAATTTCTCTAGCTTACTTTGTTGTAAGAATACAGTACATTATACACGTAGTATATAAAATATATGTTAATAGACTTTATGTTATTGGTAAGCTTTCTGGTCTACAGTAGGCTATTGGTAGTTATGTTTTGGGGGATCAAAAGCTATATGCAGATTTTTTACTACATGGGGGGTTGTCACTTGTAATTCCCATGTTGATCAAGGATCATCTGTACTTTGCATTAAAGAAAAGAAAATTGGTTGCAGGAATATTTTAGAAGTATCAGTTTATACATCTTTTTGGAGAAAAACAGTTTATATCGGAAGGCTAACAAGTTTTATTTGATTCAGCTGAGCAAATTTACTTCTTGAAATTATTCTAAGAATAATAGAATGATTAAAGATTTAATTAGAATTAATCAAGGTTTAGTTTATAATGAAAAATGGCAACAGCCTAAGTGTTTAATAGGATCTTAATGTGTGCAACTACACCCATTAAAAAAGATGGCTTAGATGATATTTAATAGCATAAAAATATTCATGATGTAGTGTTTAAAATTGTTATAAAAGTCAGTGTTATTTATGAAAATATTAGTGTAAGTTACAATATGGATATTCATAGATATTCATTCAACAAATATTGCTGTGTGAAATGATCTGTTTTAGCTACTAAGACTATAACACAGAACAAAATAGACAAAGGTCCTGCTTTCCTATTCTAATGTTCCAGTGTGGGGAGACAGACTATAAATAAATAAATATGTAATATTTTAATCATGATAACTTCTATGAAGGAAAAACTTTAAGATAGGGGATAGAGCTTGGAGGTTGCCGTTTTAGGTAGGGTAAGTCAGGGAAGGCCTCTCTGAGAAAGTAATATTTAAGCAATGACTGAAAGGTAAGCCACATGGACATCTCAGTGAATGAGAAGGTGAGCTACGTGGATATCTAGAGAGACAGTGTTCCAGAAAGAAGGATGTGTAAAGGCCAAAGCACAGATCATATAAGTGTCAGATCATAGAGGGCTCTTATAAGTCATGGTCTGGACTTTGGATTCTACTCTCTGTATGCTAAGGTTTTTGAGTAAAGAGTGACAGTATCTGACACATTTTGAGAGAATCATTCTGGTGATTATGTAGAAAAGATGACTTGAGGTAGCAAAAGTCTACTACAAAACTGTTGTAATAGTGTGGTTAGAAATGAGAGTGATTTGAGTAGAAATGATGAAAAATAGTCATATTCAAGAAACCATTTTTAAGGTAAAAAGAACCAAATGGGTGTTTTATTGGTGGATTGGAATGAAAGGAAGAGAGGAAATTGACTCCCAAGATTTTTGTCCTGAGAACCTGTGTGCATATGTAAATACTTACTATATGTAGATGCTTCAAATTTTGGCAGTGACTATCTGTAGTTGAGTTATAGGGAATTTTAATGTTTTTTTAAATTTATATTTCCTGAAGTAAATATAATGAAAGTATATTATAAATATATTAGCAATTATATAGCCTAATTAAGAAAAAATAGAAGGAAACGCAATCATAGAAAATTAGTTACATAAAAGGTTATATAATTACAGTTGTAGCAGTGGTTTAGAAAATTATGAGATCTTATGTATCATTCTAATGAAATAAGTTTGATAGTATCAAAGGATAGAGTAATTTTTCAAGAAAATTCAAATTATCAAAATTGTTTGAAAAGGGTGGAAAACATGATTAAAATGATAACCTGGCAAGAAGGTGGAAAAGGTTTCCTTCTCAAATGTCATTAGAAATTAGTATGATTTTTGGGGCACCTGGGTGGCTCAGTCAGTTAAGTGTCTGACTTTAGCTCAGGTTATGATCTCAAAACTTGTGAGTTCGAGACCCACATTGGGCTGTGTGCTGACAGATCAGACCCTTGAGCCTGCTTCAGATACTGTGACTCCCTCTCTCTGCTCCTCCCCTGCTTGCGCTCTGTGTGTGTCTCTCTCTCAAAAATAAATAAACATTAAAAAAAATTAAATAAATTAGTATAATTTTAAAAAAGAAAAAAAGAAATCAGTATGATTTTACAACTGATTTCTTACAATCCACAAGGATAAACAAATCTGAAGATTATATTTCATTTATAAAAAGCTACATATTTCAAATATAAATCTGTACAAGCATAACACACATACAAAAGAAGCCAGAGGCTAATTTCATTTTTGAATGTAGATATTTTGTTTAGGGCTCTCATTTGTAGACAGAAGCTACTTTAGCTCCTTTAAGCAGAAAGGTTTTGGGGGTATTTGTGTGTTTGTTTTTATGCATAGAGTCGATGTTTTGGTTACTTATTGCTGCAAAACAAACTGAGTGGTTTAAAATAACAATATGTTATTATCTTTTATGGTTCTGTGGGTTGACTGAGCTTAAATAGGCAGTTCTTGCTTAGATTTCTGTATGCATTTACAGTTAGATCTTAATTAGGAATGCAGTTAGCTGAAGTCTTTAGTCTTCACACGTAATATTTTTAGGAAAATAAAGACGTAAATATATCACAGAATCTAAATCACCCTCTGAAACCTGGCTTCAAAGAAATCTGTAGAATGTTATTTTTGCTTTCAACCTCTCACAGGTTGAGTAGGTGTTGAAGGCAATATATGCTATCGGACAAAACTGGTGTGAAGAGGTAGTTAACCAGCAGAACAGTCATCTGTAAAAAATAGTTTACTAGTAGGAGAGGTTCCCAGGATAGAACACATTAGCTGAATAAGGACAAAAAAAAAAAAAAAAAAAAAAAAAAAAAAAAAAAAAACTACATCTACACAAATGGTAACAGGACAATAAAATTCAACAAAAAACACATAAAACCAGGAATGAAAGCTCACTTCATTCACATTAATAATTATAATCTTTTAAATTAGTAATTTTATTAAAGTATTTTTAATATCTTGTGCAAGCTTATATTGCTAGTTTTTGGCAGGTAGAATTGAACTTTTGTTGATTTCTAATTAGGGTGTCATTGCAGTATAAAACAGCATTATTCTGTGTACATGGAAAATAAACTTCAGTATAAAATATGAAAGGTGATCAAAAGAGTGCTTTATAAATTTATTACTTTTATTTTTAGGACAAAGATTACAGATTTCCTGTGTTCTTTATTTTTCATTATTTTCCTATTGTTTTGTGTGACTCACCATCGAGTCACTGATAGAGGTTCCTGGATGACTCCGTCAGTTAAGCATCTAAGTCTTGTTTTCTGCTCAGGTCATGATCTCATGGTTCTTAAGATCAAGCCCTGTGTCAGGCTCTGCATTGACAGCATGGAGCCTGCTTGGGATTCTTTCTCTCCCCCTCACCCTGCCTCTCCCACACTCATGCGCATGTGCATGTACTCTCTCTGTCTGTCTCTCTCCCAAAACAAATAAAAAGAATATACTATGATAGAATTTGAGATTAAAGGATGACGAAAGCGTTTGAGATTTTAACATGGTTTGCCTTGCTCTCTAATATTTAAAGCTATAATATTTTTTTCTTTCTCTAGACTATAGTTATGGAGTGGTTTCTAATAATCATATGCATTTAAAGATAGAATTATCAACTGAACATAAAGAAAATCCGGAACAATTAATAAAGGTATATGATCAATATTTGACTGAAAGTACTCAATATTACAGTTAGAAATTTACCTTTCCCTCTTATAAAGGATGCTAGTTCACTCATTTAAAGTTCACTGATTAAAAATTAAAAATTTAATTATTTTTAAGCAAATAATATTTAGTATTGTGCTTTTCTCTGGCATGTAATAGACAACAACTCAAATTTCAACCTTTAAAAATATTAGAAATAGTGATTTGAACCATCAGTACCTGGAAATTTAACTATATTGTGTGATTATTTTTTCCCTAAAATCTCCAAGGAAGAAAACAATGACTATAATATTAATTACCTTGCTTAGGAATGTACTGTTACAGTAGAGACTTTAAATACCCTATGGAAAATTTAAAAATAGAACATCTTATGTTAGTTAAAAAAAAGATAAAATAAAAACATTCTTAAAGAAATAATATGAAAGGAGAGCCTAGCATTTTTGGTTAAAACCTCTAGAAATGTATTTGAGAAAGTTTCTTCTACAGGTTCAGCATTTTGGACTCTTTTACTTCTCATTTTACCCAACTATGTCTAATTTTACTAACTCTACTCCTGGTCCCTATGATGTTTAGTGTAATTTGAAAGTTGCTTATATATATATGTCTCGACTCCCTTTTTTTGGTAACAAACTTGAAATATTAATTTTGAATTATCATACTGCTACTTCATTGAAATAGATGTCCTATATCTTACCAGCTAGAATATGGTGCAGGTCTAATTATGGAAAAGTATTCATCAATATTATGACTTTTTCATAATTTAGGTTAAAGTAGCAAATAGTTGTTTTTTAAATGTACTGAATGTATCAGCAGTTTGTATATGTGAGCAATCACTCTAATTGAGAAATATAGAAATATATTAGGAAGAAAACATTAGTAGAAACATTTGGAAATAATTTTCAAGGAATTTCTTTGTTTTCATTTGAGTATAGTTAACACACAGTATTACATTAGCTTCAGGTATACAGCAGAGTAATAAAACATCTCCACACATCATGCTATGCTTACCACAAATGTAGCTACCGTCTGTTACCATAAATGGCTGTATACCATCGACTGCATTCCTAATGCTATACCTTTTATTCCTATGACTTATTCATTCCCAGATTTTCAAGCAGTTTAACTGAATAGTGCGGATGAATATCAGAGAGTGCTTAGAATTCTGAAAAAATAAGGAGGGCAAAATATAGTCTGTTTGCATGGGAAAAACATTTTTAGTGTGCTATAGAGTTGTATTTGAGAGAGATTCAAAGTAAATAAAGTTCTAGATATGTGTATGTAAATACTTGATACATTATTAAAGTGATTGCTTGACTCTTTCTTTAATTATTGGCATTCTTTTTAACCTCCTAGATGTTATCTGAAATAGAAAAAGAAGAATTTCTGAGGAGTAAAACCCATTGTAGCAGTCCTGATTCTATTCCAGAGCCTGGTCCTCATGATTTGCCTGTAGATGAACATGTTTTGTCAGGTGGGCTAAATGCTGAATGATAGTTTTGATAATTTTAATGTGATTTACTGTAGTTATCTGAAAAACGATTAAGAGTTTTCTTTTGACATTTAGAAAAATACAATCCTGATATTTGAAAATTATTATGCTTTACTGTACTTATTTAATTTCATATTTTCATAGTTTTTAAAAAAATTAATGTTTATTTATTTGTGAGAGAGAGAGACAGAGCACAAGCTGGAGGGGCAGAGAGAGAGGGAGACACAGAATCTGAAGCAGGTTCCAGGCTCTGAGCTGTCAGCACAGAGCCTGACAAAGAGCTTGAAGTCATGAGCCACGAGATCATGATCTGAGCCAAAGTCAGATGCTTAACCGACCGAGCCACCATGGTGACCCCATATTTTCATAGTTTTTTATACCTCTTAAATTAACTTGATTTAAATATATTTAAAATTTTGCATCTATATAGCTGACTGAAATAGATATACTCAGCCTTGGATTTTTAAGTGTCCTTTAACTATGTTCCTTAAGTATCTTTTAAGTACAGCACACACACACATATTATGTTTTTACATTAAGTTTTAGGTATATAGTTTAAGGCAAGTTATGTAATTTCTTA